GATCCGGGTGTCGTTCTATTAGAGGTTTTACGGTAACTCATTTTTAGTACAAAATAATATCGCTTTTTTTATTTTTGCAATCTGTGACCTTCAACCCATCTGGCGAACCAGAGGCCGTATTCATGAACATTTACTTTTAGGTAAATAGAACGTGTAATGATTTACAAAGAGGAAAATAGAGTGATTGGTATTCATGAAAGTTTGGTAAAAGAAAGCATTTTCCTTCAGATTTACAGTGACTTTTCTTTCACGTCACTGATATTTTCTTTTTCTTCTCGATTTTTCAGTGATAATTTTGTGTAAATATTTACACCTGCAAATCGATTTACTAGAAAATGGATTTACCGTATTCACAAAAGGATTTGCTCTAGTAAATATTTACTCTTGTAATATGTGAGGAAACAAGAATGATTCTGTGTTTTTTATCAGTTATTACAGGGCTGTCCAAAACGAAGGCCGTGCCTCGGCCGGCCTCGAAAAAGCCTCGGCCGAAGAAAAAAAGGCCTCGGCGCGCTCCATTGAGAAAAAGCCTCGCGAGGCCTCGGCCGGCCTCGGCCGGCCTCGCAAATGTGACTACGGTCAGCAAGTCGCATATTTTACGACAAGTTGCGTATTTTTTTTAATTTTTTGTTTTTTCTCGCTCTTTTTCAGCAAATCACGATTTTTCGAGACTTTTCTCGATTTTTCCATCGATCTGTGGCGACATGAACATTTCGAACGCCAGTGATGGTCGGTTTAAGCCGATTTATTCATTTGTTATAACCGTTATTCAATTTCAGACACAATTCAGATGCCTCAATGGTTCATTGATCCCAACAAAATCGATTGTGAATTAGTGATAAAGAACAAAAAGGAAGGATTCGGCGGTTTTTATGCTAGTTGAAATTTTTTTTTGTTGAAAAAATTAGTTCTTTTTCAGAAAAAATGCACTGATAAACAGGGATACATGCGAGTGGTGTTTGTTCATCATGCGACCGGCGCAGAGAACGCCGTCAAATTTTTGAAGTGTGAATCTTGCTCGAGCATTATAGGAGATAACGGTGGCCATTTGCAGTGGCAAAAACCATTTTTATATTAATTATGATGAAACTATAGGCGCCACCAGAAAAAACACAGTACATCTGGAAATTCTACGTCCCGTATCGTTTTGAATGCTTCAAAACTGGATGTATCGAGATTGCTGTCACGATTTTTTGCCACAACTGGAAGGCCATTGCACGAAATGGAAAATTCTTCGTTTAGAACGTTGGTCGGCGATTTATTGAATCTCGGGTATAATTATTTTTAAAAAAAGTTCTCATTGTAAATTGTATTGTTCAGCAAGCGAATGGATCCAACATCAGTACCAATGTCGCTTATTCCCAGCAGAAGTTCTACGCGACGGTATACCTTGGAAAAACTGGACAATGAAATTGCAAAGTTACGAACTCTGGTGATAATCGACTCATGGCCATTTGTAAAAGGGAATTTTCAGGTGTTGCCTATTGCGAAATCGGGATACCTATCGTTCATGGCTGATTTTGGTCGAGTTCACGAAGATTTTTTGTGCCTGAAGGCTTCTTATTTGGAAGAAAGGATTGACGAAGATGGTAGTCTGAAATGGGTGACACTCGTCGTTCCAATCGCCTATATGTCAGTGTCCGGAGATGTGAAAGATGCGAATAATGTACGTGATGCTATCAAGTTCACTTGCCAAGACTACATTTCAGATTTTCATTATGATCAAACAAGCCGTTTTGAATTTTTTGGCGAAGATTTTGAT